AAAGTACTCAAAACCTCCCATTAAAATATAACATTGATTGTAGTTTTAAAAATGTTCAGAGAATAATTTTGACAACATATGAATTATTGAAAGATCAATTTTTATATATTTAACAGAAGAATCTTGATTCATAGATTAAACTCTCTAAATTAAAGAGATAACAGAGCCCAACATCACATACTCAAATAAATTTAATAATTTTTAAATTATCAAACATTATAAATCGTTGTGGGATAATATTTAATAACTTTTTAGATATGTTTTTTTTTTTCAAATTATAGAAAATTTAGGTGATTTTACACATTTTTTAAGAATAATATAAAACATGTTATATATTAATTTACATATTTTTACACATGTTATATAACATTTTTGATGCAGTTAATGTTTTTGCACATTTACGATATTTTGCAAAAGTTAAATTTTATAAGACATTTTCAACAAATTAACATATTATATTATATATTGACCCCATATTTTGAATTTGTAAATGTTGTTTATCAGTACATCTAGAGTATCAACTTATTTGTACAATTTTATACAGTTTGATTCATTTTCGTATTTATCCATCATTTAATGTACGGTACATAATAATTTCATATTATGTCGTTGATCCAAATAAAATAAAACTAATTAATGACGTTGAATCATATACAAAAATAATACGAATTTAAACTTTTCAAAATGATTTCGTCATTTTTCATCTCATATCCAAATTATAAATTTTAATGTGAATCATAAATATATCATAATTATTTTTTTTATATATATATATATATATTAAAAAAAAAAAGCAAGACGATTCATATATTTCATTTTATCATATATCATGTATTAGATGTTATTAGTTTGGTTGGAGACACTTATTCTATAAATAATATATAATTTTCTATATTTTATATTTATTGTATTATAATAATGATATATATTTTCTATATTTTGTATTTATTGTATTGTAATAATGATGAAATGTTAATCAAATATAAATAATTACAGGAACGCTAAGGAGTCAATTGTTGGCTCCGTAACGGAGCCAACTTTGTTACGGAGTCAACAATTGACTCCTTAGCGTTCTTGTAAATAATTATGTTTAGAATAAAAATTTAACAAAGATTTTAACTAACATGTCCGTTAGTTGACCTCAACATTATTTCACCACCACACGCTGACATATTTGAGCT